GTGTGTTTTCAGCATTTTACGGTCTAGAAAAAGACGTGCTTTTGAAAGCATTGCGTAGTTTGGAATTGCAACGACGTGCACAGTTGATGAATATTGGTACAGAATCGGAAGGTGTTAAGTTCTTGCAATAATAGTTAGTTTGGTGAGTGTGAATTTGTTCGCTCTTTTGGATTTTGGCTGATAATCAAACTTCAGATTTTGCCTCATTGCCAGTAATCATCCTGCGAGTATTCTTTGTTGAACATTATGGCTGTTGTTGTTGCTCAACCTAACAAATCGGACAGCGTTGACAGCTCTGCTTCTGGTGCTGGAAATCCAAGTGAGTACCTTTCAATAGTTCATTTTTTTATCTTGGATTTTTTTCTTATTAGAACTTTGGATTTAAATATAAGCACATGAAGTAGATATTAGATTTATATTCAAAGTCAATCAAAATACATTTTAAGCTAACATATATTAGAAATTTCGACCTTTTGGACTGCGTCGAAAGCTTCGGAAGACTAGTCTTTCTAAAGTCTCGAAAATACCTTGGAAACAATTCCATTCAAGACGGAAAGACCCGTTTGGTTTGAATTTTTATTGGGTTCAGCGAAAGCTAGTCAATGATTCGAAACAAGGTGATTTAGTAAGCGGTTTCTTGAATGTGTGCATCTCTTTTTTGCGGATGAGGATAATTTCCGTGCGCGTACTAGAATAAAAACATCGGTTCCTTTATATCTTATTTTCGATGTGATAGGGGATCATTAGGTGGTAAATCTACTAAATCCCGCAGATTTGTTACATGTTATCTCGCATATTTTATCTGCAACTTTTGAAAGGCTTGGCTCCATTCTTTTTGCTCATTTTCATATTTTTACTGTTTTTGTGGTTTGATTTCAAGTTTTTTTTTCAATCTGAATAAGCGACATTCGTTTACAGCTCTCGAATTCTCTTTTTCAGATGCTCCATCGTTTTTCAAAAATTCCGAGTTGATTGAAGAAGGAGACACCGTAATCATCTACGTGACATTCGACTCTACACATGCAATCATTGCACGACGGGGCCAAACACTTTGCATGAAGTATGGAGCGTTGCGGCACGAATTCGTGATAGGCAAGCCGTAAGTGGACTAGTCGTTCCTTGTGCTTTTTGTGGTTTTTGTACAACAGCACAAATTCGTCACGATTTCTGAGTTTTTAAAGGAGGAACAATAAGGACAGTGTTCACTTAGCCCGAAATCCTTTTGGGTTGGTCGAGCTCATACGCCCACAATTTGGTCATGAGAGGAACATGCACGCAGTGTTTTGAGCATTGACTTCCACCTCACTGGTTTAGCTATGGTTTTGTGATTGTGAGCACTTACCGAGGGAAAATGGGCGATGAAATAAGCCCA